AGCGCCTTGCGCCCGAGACGCACCCCCCAAACCGCCTTTAAAATCACTGTTACTATTTACCCTTAATCCTTTGTCAGTCACAAGTTCTTCACTGAAATAGATCAGAGAATACAACTGATAGCAATGCATGTATTATGTGAAGTTATAGATCAATAACACAGAGGACTAAAAAAGAGACATGCATCTCATCTAACATTGTCTGATCAAGTTAAGAGTAAAACAGTAGAAATGCATATAATCATCCTTTGAGCTCACAAAGATAAATTGTCATTCAAAGCATTTATGTTTGCTTAATATATAGATAAATTATCATTCAAACGACGATGATTTCACCTCAAACTTGGTGTGTTGGGGTTTTAGAATATGTAGATCAAGTTCAACGGAACGGATCATCCACAATGTAGCTCAATCATGTGATTTTAGGTCGCTTCCTTAGATGATTATCTAAGGCGTCACCTTAGAAACACTTTTCCATATATATATATATATATATATATATATATATATATATATATACTATAGAGCGAGAGAGAGAGAGAGAGAGAGAGGGGAATATGCGGTATGCTGGCTACCAAGCACAAATTTATGCTTGGTAGTGGGGTGGCATATTATCCTCTACTCATTCAAATGGCGGGATCATATTCACAATGGGTTGAATATGGTCCCCAATTTGAAATGAGTGGATGAGAATAGGACACCTCACTACCAAGCACAAAATTTGTGCTTGGTACCAAGCATACCCATTTCTCATATATATATATATGAGAAATATGGGTATGCTTGGTACCAAGCACAAATTTTGGGCTTGGAAGTGATGTGTCACATCCCTATCTACTCCCTACCCATGTGAATATGATCTCAAATTTGAATGAGTGGAGGGGATGTGACACCTCACTATCAAGCATAACTTTTTGTGTTTGGTACCAAGCATACCCATATTTCTCTCTCTCTCTCTCTCTCTATATATATATATAGAGAGAGAGAGAATAATGAGTATCCTTATCATAGGAGGGGATTTCCTCCTTGAAAATGATGTGGCACAATCCCCACCATGTGATATTCTCTCATTCATGTGCTTAGCATACATATATAAGTACAACAATGATATTTAAAACCATGTAGTCATCAAAGCATCCATGTGCTTAACATAAAAGTCCAAAAGCATTTAACTAACAACATCTATGTTCCCAAAAATACAACTCCAAAAGAGTAGTCATCAAACTACGAGGCCACAAGCATAGTCATTAATAAGCATAGTGATTGTCGACATTTGGAAATACTCCCAAATCATAAACCTTCTCTTTTGACCATCATTCATCTTCACAAACATATCATTCACGTCTTGGGAAATATTTTGACTAAGGACAGTCAATCGTTGTTCATTAGTAAATTCTGGAATTGAAGCCACTCCCTCGACTCCGGTTGGTTGTTCCACTCGCCATTTCTTGCACAACGGGTTGAGACAATGCAGAGGCGGTGGTGCAGGAAGGTGCTTTATGAATATTTCTGGTAGTGCTAGAGGTTGATGGTACAGATTCAGCCACAGGAGTGCCAGGATCTGGAGTGCTATTAGGGGGACGTGGTGGAGGATCTACGTGTGGTTGGGTAGGTTCTTCTTCACTCATAGCATCAAGCCCAATCTCATCATCAAATATACCCTCATCGGGCTCACCCAATGCATTATGTATTGGCGCACTCTCTACACCCTCACTTCCTAAGCCTCTTGCTGCTCTCCCACTAGCAAAGTGGCTACCCACCACCATCTGCTTATCCCCCAAATTTTCAAACAACTTATCTTTAAGCATTGGTGTATTAGGATGAGCCTATCGAAAAACATAGATAACAATTTTTATTCTCTTGTTTTGACCATATTACATAGTCACACCTAGTTTTTTTTGGCCCTCTCACCATCTTGAGAGTACTCTTCCACAGTTTTGAGTTTTCAAAGCAAAATTCATCCTACAACGCAAATATCAATAATGACCAAAACATGATACATCATATGTTTCACATAAATAATGGCTAACAGTTTTTATTTCTTCTATACATATTTATATACATATCTATCTAATTATCTATTGTCTACATATAAATTACAATGAACAACACCTACACATAATATTTCTTCTGTACATATTTTTCATCCACCATATGTTCACATAAACAATGGCTAGCTTATTTTTTGAAAATGAAAAAAAGTATTAATTAACAGAAGTTTTCAATATTTATAGAAGTGCATGTAACTAGTAATGGCATAGTAAGCCGGCAATTTCTGACATTCAAACTCAATATTTATAACAAAACTCTCATTTTAGTAACCTCTAACAACATAATGGTCATGTTTCAACATACACACACAAAAACCCAACAATATTGGACTGTTAAAACACAATACAAAAGCCCAAAAAAACCAAATAATTTTGAGACATCTAGTAGAAGTTGGTGCCCACTATATCATTGGTCAAGATCCCTAGCCAGAAGAACAAAGAGACTGAGGACTCCTGTATAACACACTACATAATAATTAATGAAAGAAAAGTGAGAAATACCGCTTTTGTATATAAAAGGGAATTTGTAAAGACTGCAGAGAATTGGTAGATAACTAGATATAAAGTCTTAATTATTGTATATGGATTTCACTGCCTTACCTTTGAGGAAATTGGCAAACTTCCTGTTTACATTTGACATGTAAAATGTGGAATGAACCAAGTATGCAGATGACAAGTTTGCCATCAAGTAGAGCTATCAAACTTCATGAAACCAGGTTTCTAGATCAACCAAAAGTGCCTACCACGTCAGAAACTTATGCAAACCCAATGAAGAAAACCAGTCCCAAAATCAACAAAAACCCAATTTCTTTTTAAAATTTTCTCAACATGTCTTATGCTTGCTTCATTAAGTGATTCTCCATGTCTGTTCTCAATATCTTAATTTATCATATAACTTGCCAGAAATATAACTAAAAAATCACAAAATAATTAGAAGTTAAAGCCATAGGCATGATATCAAATCTCCCAAAATTTGGTCAAGCATGTACCTTGACGGTGACAAATTCAAACAAGACGTCGCTGTAGGGAGGCGTTGGAAGTTGCCACGGAGACTATAGGGATGGATTTTGAAGAGGAGGCGTGAGACTGTTTCAGATAATCAGCAACAAAATCAAAGCTTGTGAAGGGGAGTTGAAAAGAGAGAGGGGAGGAAGGAGAGTAAGGCTGGTGGAGGAGGGTGAGAGGTGATGGAGAAGAAAGAAGGAGAAGAGATCGCACCGCAGGAGAAAGAAGACGATGCTGGAAGAACGCGATGGGATCTAGGGCAAGATTACCCCATCTTGTTCCAGCAAGCAATCTGGGGTAATTTTGAGGGTGGGGTCTAAGGAGTCTTTATATAGTTAGGGTAATTTTAGGAAAAGTGGAGTATTTGTCCCACAATTATCCCAACAAACCAATAACACTATAAAGTTGAATCCATACTCAATTACCCCAATGAATAACATCAAAAAGTGTTGTTCCAAAAATTATCCCAATATCCCTTAATTTACACCAATGAATAACCCCCTTTAGTTAAGAAATCCACTGATCCCGCAATAGATCATTGGTTCGGATGATGGGTTGTAGATTTGGAACAAATTAGTATTCAGTAAGAGTAACCAGTCAAGTCTTGTGTGCACCTGTTGAGCTTCCTTTGAGCTTTCTATTATTAGTTAGTTTGGGCTGTGTTTCTACACATACTTTTTATAATGCAAAATTTTGATAAATTTTAACTGCTTTACATATGTTTTACATTTGTGTATAACCTCAGTTATGAACAACTTTAGTTCACGAAAATCTTGCATTTAATTAAATTTCCCTGCATTTCAGGCATACATTGATTTTGAGATATATGAGAGTGAGTATGAGAGAACAAGACAACTGTACGATCGGCTACTTGACCGGACAAAGCACTTGAAGGTGTGGTTAAGTTATGCCAAGTTTGAGGCTTCTCTTGCAATGGAACAGGAAGACGAAGATAAAGAGAAACAGGCAACGAGTGATGCTGAGCAAAAAATGGAGTGCATCCAACGGTGTCGGGGTACTTTATTTTCTCCGATACAAGTCTTTCTTCTTTGTTATAGATTTACTTCCAGCTAATCCGTGCGTGTTACTTTTTCCACAGGTGTGTTTGAAAGAGCCTTCGATTATTTCAGAACGACAGCACCTGAACTAAAAGAGGAGAGAGCCATGCTCCTGGAGGAGTGGCTCAATATGGAAAGCAGCTTTGGAAGCCTCGGGGACGTTGGTATTGTACAAAAGAAATTGCCAAGGAAAGTAAAGAGGAAGAGAGCTATTCGATCTGAGGATGGAACTCCTGCTGGGTATGTTCTTTGTTTTCTTCACTCAGGCGTGTCTCTATGTTTCAAAATCTCTTTAATTTATAATTTAGGCCGTCTTATTTTCATTTTCCCCTGGGATAAAACAAAGTGACGTTGGGTAATTTTGTGTAGGTACGAGGAGTATATTGACTATGTATTCCCTGATGAAGTGGCAATGGCTCCCAATTTGAAGATATTAGAAGCCGCTTACAAATGGAAGAAGCATAAATCAGGTTCAGATGAGGAGTAATTGCGCCATTATTTCTTATGCTCACACCGCAAGCAGGCTGCTCCTTTTCAAGATTTTCTTATGTTCATTCTAAAAGGAAGCAATCCGAAACCGATCTCGCAATTTGTTGCCGACATGGTTTGTGTTCATCCTCCCAGGTTTAACTGTGCGTTATAGTTGCGTTATAGTTGTGAGATGTCAGCAGCTGGCTTCGCAGAGTTGGGAGTTTTATCATGCTGTGCCATTGTAATCTCAGTCCCAGTTTTAACTGGAGGGGTGCGTCGCGCATGGATCTTTGGATGTTAACGAGGTAAGAAGATGACGGTCAAAAGTACTATCGTTGTTGGTGTACTGAATGTCAATTGTCATGTAAGTTTTTTATAGATATTTAACTCGTGAAGCAATCTGCTTATTCCATTTGCTATTGTGTTTACCGCGATAGGCTTGAGTACTTACACAACTTCGCACCATTTTGTTACGATAGCGTGTTGTTTTGTTAAAAATAACATAAAAAAAGGAAGGAAAATTTGAGATAAATACAAATGTTAATTTTAGGAAAACCCCCTCAACTATTTTTTGAGGGTCGTTTTAGAAAATCCCCCACCTATTTAAACTTTAGAGAATCCACCGACTATTTTAACTTTAGAAAACCCCTTAATTATGGGGTTTGTTTTATATAACATTCCTTAAGTTTTAAAATATTATTTATTCCCCCTTAACTTTCCTTACTTAACACCCAATATTAATATAATTAAAATCTAAAGGAACAAATAATTTAGAATGACAATACCATCCCTAAAACGTAAATTTTTTACCAAAGTGTTTGTTATTAACTTTTTTGGTTAAAAAAAAGGGAAAAATGTGTCCAGGCCCCAAAAACAGAAACTTCATGTGCTGCAGCCCCTCCTACTTTCTCCCATGTGGTTCAACCCCTTGAAGTGTGACATTTTGTGCTGCAGCCTCTTTTTAACAATTATTAGATGCCAGCTAAGCTAAAATTCCCAAAATAACCTTATCCCCTCTTCTCAATCCTTCAAACCCAGTTCTCTCTCTCTCTCTCTCTCTCTCTCTCTCTCTCTCTCTCTCTCTCTCTCCCCCCCTCTCTTTAAAAACAATGGCTTTCTCAAGCACGTCGCTCTGGCCCTCGTCCTCCTCGCCGTCGCCACCTCCTCCCAGGCTCCCAAGCCTCCCCTGAGTTCGCCGCCGCCTCCCCTCCTCTCCTCCGCCCGACCTCGTCGCGGTAGCTCGCCGTCGCTCCCCGTAGTCAGGTTCAGAACTAGAACAATAGATTGGAATTAGATATAGGCCTTGTGATTCTTAAACCAAAAATCAGAAAATCCAACCCAATAACATATAGTAAATAAATAGTTTAAACATGAATGCAACTCTTCGCTCGTGAGACACGCGATGTAATCAAATATATACTGACTCTCAAAGTCTTTCCGACTCTTGTTCTATATTTTTATCATAACCAATTTAACAAAATGAATATGTGAAATAACTTATTGTTGTCATGCATCGGGCTCGCAAGCCCCTTGGCACGGTGTAAGCTGTAGGACCATTGAATGTAATGCGTTATTTGGCTCAATCCACTACCAAAATGGTTAATCATGTTACACTTCAATCTCACAACTTAAAATATAAATACTACAAACTCTCACCCACCAATGAGGGACTAAATTTTGGGATGCTACAATCACCCCACATTAAACATGTGATGTCCTTGTCGCGGCATATAACAATTGTTCTGTCCCTGTATTGCCACCGGGCGATGTGGATTCTAGAGGTGATCCTATGGGTTCTAGAGCTAGCTCTCACCACACTCACGCGTTGTAGCACTTAAGTCTCACATAATACTTAGTTTGACACTTCCAACGAGCTACTGCTCTGATACCATTAGTCATGCCCCGAGTGCGCGAGCTCGTTGGCATGCTGTAAACCATGGGAGACACTGAGTGTAATGCATTGTTTGGCTCGATCCACTGCCAAAATGGTTAACCACGTTACACTGGGATCTCACAAGTTACATTATAAACACTACAAACTCTCACTCACCTACCCATGTGTGACTAATTTTGGGATGCTAAAATCTAAATCCAGATATGGACCTACATTTGTTTCAGTTTTTGATCCTACAGTGCTTGTTAGATTCTGATTTGGATAAAACATACTTTATTATTGGATTTGGGTTATACACAAATCTGAACTGAATCTAACTTCACTATGTCCCTACAAAACAAAAATTTTAGATTCTTCTCAAAGCTTCAAACATTGTTTTAGTTTTATTTTTGCACTTGGGACTCTTTGCCCTAAAGCTACAGGCTACAGCTATGAGTATCTTAAATCTACAGGAAGGAATATACACAAGGCCATTGTAGAAAACATGTACTCAGAAAGTGTTCGTGGTTAGCATTATTCAAAGAACATCCCTGAATGACATGCTTGCCTAACAAACACTTCAACATAAAAACATACAGTTGCTAAGATATGTCCTTGATTTATCTTTGTAGTGATTGCTTGTCTGCTGAATCTAGATACTTAAATCATCTTATTCAATTGATTATGGCACCAACCCTGTAACAACCTGTATCTATAATATCAACCAAACTAATGAAGCACCCACATACTGACAGCTGACATGCCAAAGATGATTAGCATAACCTTTAATTGTCGAGCTCTAGTCTTAGAGATATTTCCCAAAAAAAAAATTGATAAAAAAGATTTCTAACTTTAATCTTTTTATATTCTCCTAGGTTACACATTTATCTCATAAGGAAAGAAGAAAGCTAGACATCCCCTTACTGTCAAGTGGCACAAAGAATCTTATAGGTGATCATCTTAATTCTTAACTAATATATGCATTCTAATTTTTGTGTCTTACATTTTTTGCAACAGCATCCATGCATTCCACTGGTATTCCTTTCTCCATGAGCTAGTGAGCAGAAGTCACATGTACCCCCACGTCCCCACCTGAACTTCATTATTTTTCCTAAACCTGAGGTGGCTCTATAAGAGCACAAGCCAAACTTACATGTACCGAATTAAGCTTCACAAAATTATACCAAGTGGTATGCAGTAAGCATGAGGATAATGCACTCATATCCTATAGAAAAAACATAGTACCTTAGAAGTACAAATGTAACATATCACTGAAAAACAGAAGCATATGTCAGATATAATTTTTGAAATATGACAGGCATTACTGTATTGCAAACTTTTTCCTAATCTCATTCCTATTTTGACAAGGACAAACAGGAAATTAACAAGGAATACATTGCCACAATGTGAACAAAAAGTACTCAATTGGAGGAGAAGCAGATCATGTGTTTCCAGCAAGAAGCACTCGAAGTGAAACAAACAAGATGTGCAGTAAATTCGAAGCAGAAATATAAAATTGGGACCCATAATCATATCAATTTATAATTACAAATCTTAAAGGAAAGACGTATAACCTTCAGTGCTGCACGTTTGAATGGAGTCGCCCGTACGTATGCTTTCACTAACTTAAAAATTAGTATATCTAGGGGGATTTGTTGCTGCTTATCTCGCAACCATGGGTGAGCTGCAAAGAGAAAGTTATACAGTAGATCACATCAATAACCATACTCAGATCTCTACCTAGGAGAAGCCTCAAACGTACAGTGTTAGTTCTAACACGCTACAGTGTTAGTTCTAATCTGTACATTGTTAGTTCTATTCTGTAGCGTGTTAGTTCTATTCCGTGTTAGTTCTAATTTATATCAAGTTAGTTTTATTTTATACCACGTTAGTTCTAATTTTAACCATATTAGTTGTAATTTATAACAAGTTAGTTCTAATTTATAACAAATTAGTTCTAATTTTTCTAATTTATAACAAATTAGTTCTAATTTTAACCACGTTAGTTCTAATTTATACCACATTAGTTCTAATTTATACCAAGTTAGCTCTAATTTATACAATGTTAGTTCTATTTTATACCAAGTTAGTTCTATTTTATACCACGTTAGTTCTAATTTTAACCATATTAGTTCTAATTTTATCTAATTTATTCCACGTTAGTTCTAATTTATGAAAGTTGGAATGTTAAGGTCACTTGATGAATAATAATTTATAAATTAGACATTTTTCCTTGTGCCTGCAGCCCCTTCATTTTCATTTTTCTTGGGCATCATCCACTCTTTTCTCTTGGTCATCCTCCTCCGGACTACCATACTATAGGGTTTAAAAGTGGCAGGCGCAGCGGCGAACTCCGGCGTAGTCGAGGGCTAGACGGGGAGCGACGGCGAGCTACCGCGACGAGGTCGGGCGGAGGAGAGGAGGGGAGGCGGCGGCGAACTCGGGGGAGGCTTGGGAGCCTGGGCGGAGGTGGCGACGGCGAGGAGGACGAGGGCCAGAGCGACGAGCTTGAGAAAGCCATTGTTTTTAAAGAGAGGGGAGAGAGAGAGAGAGAGAGAGAGAGAGAGAGAGAGAGAGAACTGGGTTTGAAGGATTGAGAAGAGGGGATAAGGTTATTTTGGGGATTTTAGCTTAGCTGGCATCTAATAATTATTAAAAAGGGGCTGCAGCACAAAATGTCACACTTCAAGGGGCTGAACCACATGGGAGAAAGTAGAAGGGGCTGCAGCACATGAAGTTTCTGTTTTTTGGGGCCTAGACACATTTTTCCCTAAAAAAAATCTTTCAATTTATTTCCCCTCTTCTTCTTCCTCCATCTTCATTGCGTGAATCTAACTTTTTCTCTCTTTTTCGAAACGCTAAAAACTTCTTTTATTTTCTACTTACCTATGTCTGTAATGTTTAAAACAATTGAAACTTTTGAAATTTTTTAAAGATTAGTTTCTTCATGAAAATCCATCGAATTTAAGTCTAATATTTTGATTGGGTTGAGTTTTCAAACTCACATGAATTTTTTTCAAGCAAGGGTATTTTAGTCATTGAAATTTTAAATTAATGATAATAGGGCGTCATTTGGCAAAAAAAGGCTTAATATTAGAAAATCCCCCGTAACTTTGGGCGATTATCAGAAAACTCTCCTTAACTTTCAAAATATTAGACACCCCTCTCCCTCTTTAAGTTTAGGCATTATTAGAATACGGCCTTTAACGTTAATATTTTATCACAAAACCCCCCTAATAGCGTTACCCGAATTATCCCAAATTATCAGCGAACAAAAGTAACCCCTATATGGATTTTCAGTGGGACAATTTTTTTTAAAGAACTCAGAGAGTTTTTATGCAAGAAATCAGATTAATGTGTTAAACTAAAATTTAAATTTTTTTCTATCACGTGAGGGTGCAATCCCTCCTAAAGCATTTTGTTTTGCTGAAAAATTGGGATAATAAGGGATAACACCGTTGGGAGGGTTTTATGATAAAACCTTAAAGTTCTTCTTATAATGCCTAAAGTTAAGGAGGGGTTTCTAATATTTTAAAAGTTTAGGGGTTTTGTTGATAATTGCCCAAAGTTAATGGGGGTTTTCTAATGTTAAGCCAAAAAACATCTATAAAGATAAATTGGATTTTGTAAGACACCCAAAATTCATGTGAGCTTAAATTTTTTTTTTCAAACTCATCCGTGTCCCCACCCTTTTGTGAGTACGAGTGTCAAAATATTAGGTTAAGTATAGCAGTACACTTATCGCTGCCCAAAATCATATCATAAGACTTCAGAACAGTATGACCGCAATGCTAACGTGACTAAATTTAGGAAAATAATAGAGACACACTCTTAAACCACACTCTTCTTTCGCTATAGTACAGATGGGAGTGTGGTTTAAGGTGTGACTGTAGTGCCTCTCCTAAATTTATAGTTGCCGCAGCCCAAAGGAGTCAAAAAAACGGCCGAAAGCCGAGTCCTCCTTATCTCGGTCCAATCTTATTCATCTTCCTTTAGACCCTGTTTGGATTGAGGGTAATGGGGGTGAGGGGAAGGGAGAGTAACTTTTAACATTGTTTGGGAAGTAAATATAGCAAGTTAATAGGGGTGAGGGGAGGGGAAAGGAGGTGAGAAAATACCATGATTTCTTCCCCACCAATTTGGGGTGTAATGGAGGTGAAGGTAAAGAGGGGGAATACAACAAATGTAGAGAGACATATTTACCCCTAGCTAAGATTAAAATCCAACGGCTAAAATTTGCTCACAGAAACCCCACAGTATAAACTCTCGTTGCAAGCGCCTCCGCCATTTCTTCTTCCTCCGCATCTCATCTTGCCTCCGCGTCTTCTCTCCTCCGCGTCTTGTCTCGCCTCAATCTCTAGCTCAGTTTGAGCAAGTGTTTTGATTTTTCAAGGTAAGATTTTCTCTCCTGTTACTGAACTTGCAGGACTTGGCCTTGGATAACTCAACGAAATTGAAGAAATAAGTGAAAGCGGTTGAAGCTTTTGTTCTTCCTCCCTTCTTTGAAGGGGTCTTATGTCAACTGTGGAGAGAATATGAGCATAAATAGCTACTTTGCGGAAAAAAAGTTTTATTTTATTTCTCCGTAATGCTTCATTGGAACATTTTTCACGGGGATGTTGGTTAATGAGGTTGATGCTGGATAATATTAATAAACACAATTTGTTTTTTAGTTTTTGTTGATGAATTTACTTTGTATCATCCAAACTGAGCTTATTTGATGGAGCAATAAAATTTGTAAAAGACCGTTCAAAATTGGGGATTTTTGCAGATTGAATGACAAATGTTATAGTAGTTTTGTGTTCGTGTAGGTATTTGAGTTTCATCATTTAGTTGGTCGTTGCTCTGCTAACTGGGTATATTTGCAAAAGAAGAGTGAAAATAAGCTTTGTATTGTTTTGTAGTCTCATCGATGAATATATTGGTTATTATTTTTCATTCCAACTATACTCCATATTTTTTCATATTTATCTGATTTGTGTTGATTGTGAATATACAATGGGGAAGGAGATGATGACAATAATAATATATAGCAATAGATGCATATTTGATATTTAATTTCTAACAATAATATAACTTAATAATATGTGATGGTATTTATGTCAATTTATATACATTCTCTTTCCTTCCCTTTCCGTTATTACACTTTCCAAACGGGATAAAATAACTTCCCCTTGATTCATCTTACTAGTTTCCCAAATAAGTTTTAAAAATTCCCTTCCATTCCCTTAACTTAACTTCCCTTAGGGCTTGTTTGGATTTGGAGGGGGTGAAGGGAAGTTAGGGGAACATAGGGGAAGTTATGTTAAGGGAAGTGAAGGGAATTTCTAAAACTTGTTTGGGAAACTAGTAAGGTGAATCAATGGGAAGTTATTTCACCTCGTTTGGAAAGTGTAATAATGGGAAGGGAAGGAAAGTGAATGTATATAAACTGACATAAATACTCTCACATATTATTAAGTTATATTGTTGTTAGAAATTTTCGCCGTTGGATTTTGATCTTAGCTAGGGGTAAATATGTCTCTCTACATTTGTTGTATTCCCCCTCTTTACCTTCACCCCCATTACACCTCAAATTGGGGGGGAAGAAATCATGTTATTTTTTCACCTCCTTTTACCTCCCCTCACCCCTATTAACTTGCTATATTTACTTCCCAAACAAGATTAAAAGTTACCCTCCCTTCCCCTCACCCCCATTACCCTCAATCCAAACAAGCCCTTAAGTTCCCCCAACTTCCCTTCACCCCCTCCAAATCCAAACAAGAAGTTATTTTACTTTCTCGTCCTCTCCTCTTTCAGCATCCACGCGCTCTCCTGCTCGTTTGGAACCCTAAACCCTAATGGCACCATGAACGAACCAAATTTCCCCATCCCCGATCTCAGCAACTCCACTCCCCAAATCGACATGGAAACCCTAGAAACCCCTCAACTCATCCCCCGCTTGAAATCCTCTCTCCAAAGATCTGAATTTGACACTGTGGAATCTATCCCCGTACGGAGAGAGAAAAGTCTCTCAGAAACCCTAACCCTAAAAGAAGTCGAAAGAATCGAGCTCCAATCCACGTACGACGGCCTCTCACGGAGATGCACCGAGCTCGAGGAGCAATTAGGGCGGAAGCAGAGGGAGGTTGATGAATTCAAGATGGCCGTCAAGAATCTACAAGTCGAGCTTGTGGGTCGGGAGATGGAGTGCAGGGAGCTGAGGGCTAGGGTTTTACATTTGGAGAAAGGGAGAGGGGTGATTGAGATCAGTGATAGTGAGGATGTCGATGAGGATTCTTGTAAATATTTGAAGAAAGAGGAGGGAATCGTTGAGAAAGATGAGGACTTTGTGTTGACTCCGACTCCCAAGAGGAAGCGGGCTTCGAGAATGGTTGCCAGTGAGAGCGAGGACGATGAAGATGATGTTTTTATTTGTAAGCGCAAGAAAGAGAGGCTCTATGATGAGAAAGGAGAGGAACAAGAATTGAATGCATCTCCTGCTGATAGCAGTGATCAAAGCGACGGGAGCGACAATGATGATGATGTCCCCATTGGCAAGCTTATTGAGAGGAGGCTTGGGCATAACAATGGCAAAGAGGGTGATAAAACTCGTGCTCAGCCCCGGAAGCGTCTGGTGAAATTAGGGGAACACAGCGCCATGAAACACAGGGAAAATGGATCGTTTCCTAGAGATTCTGTACCTCAGAATCAGTTGCATTCTCAAACTAATAGCATGAGGACAGCAAGGTGCCGAAAGCTAGTATTTTCAGATGTTGGAAACGGTGAAGATGAAGAGGTGGATGTTGATGATTCAGATAGTGAGGATGAGAGTCTGAATGGGTTCATTGTAAATGACTCTGATGATAATGAGAGAAATGAATCTAGTTCTTGTTATATGTCTCAAGAAGTTTCGGACAGTGATGTTGAACTTGATGATGTGTTGGCTACTCTACGTCGTAAGAAAGATACCAAGATATGGCATTACGAGGCAGATATGCTTGCTTCATTTTCAGAGGACCCTGAAATTTGTATGAAGGCTGTTTGTGCTCTTTATCGACAGCAAACACTTGAAGAGCAGTCAGTAAAGGGGACAATAGTTGTCAATAATCGAGGGTTTAATCAATGTGATGCATATAGGTATGCAACAGTAAAGACTCACTATTACCATTCATTCTTCTACGGTATGCTTTATATTGAATCTTTACCAGCCTTTTATGATAAAGTAAAGAATGTGAAGCTGTAGCATGCATGTTGTCCTAATAATATTAGATGTACATGTTTTCTCCTTTGCTTGCTAATGTCATGAAGTTGTGATTCTAATGAAACTCAACATTAGAGTTCGAGCAATCACTACATATAATATGATTCCTAAGAAGTGACAAACTATGAAAAATAAACTATTGCTCAATACCTTACATTCCTATTTGCATGCTTTCCGTTGTAGTTAATGCATCGTCACATTGAAAATGTCACATCCTTTTCATTTTTATCTCCACTCACTGAATCATGAAGACAACATTACATTTAAGCCCTCACTTGAGAAATGTGGTCTCTAAAATATAATTGCACATTTTACTGCTAGCTTTTTTGGTAAATTCCATCATACGCATTTCTTTCTTTGATTAACTAAATACCAAGGCTTCGTATATTTCCAATAATTATCTGAGACCAAATACTTGGCAGATTTGCTCGGACAAAATATTTAGAAGACAAATAATACTATAATAAAGCAATGTGAAAGTTCTTAAAAAAAGCCTTCTTATTTCAGTAGTTTCTTTATAGTAGCTCCATTAGTTAGTTACTAATTTTTTCCTCAAAAACTTTCTTCCTCTTAAATAGTTTTAGTTAGTTATAATAGTTTTTTTAGCGACAAATAGCATATAATGGTTAACCAAATGGATCCTTCTGTTGAGGTTGGGATCATCTCATCCTTATGTTTTCAAATATCGATTATTATAAGAGAAACTTCATTTACCATATTATGGTAAAAAAGAGAGATTTTTGTTCCATTCTTATCTAGTTAGTGAAAGGTCATACTTCTCCCGGTTGAGTTCTGCAAGTTGGGGTTAGGTATGAGCTGGTTCAAACCATGGACCGAACAGATCCATCCCAATTTGGGTCACAACCTATTGTGGGCCAAGCCCAACCCGGCCCACATTGGAGGTGGTTATGGGCAGGCTGGATTTTGATCTAGAACGGGGACCGAAAAGGCAGGCCGACACACTATAGGTCTGGCCCACTAATGACCTGGCCTGAGTTAACTATGAATGTTTATTTCTTTTAATAAAACTAAAATTAAAAATTAAAAAAAAAATCCTAGAAGCCCACTAACCCAGCGACCAACGCAAAAATGGAAAATTAAGACAAAAAACCTTTCTTTGAAAAATATGATGAACATAACTTAAGGGAATTCAGCTCCTTAAAACATTAACAGTTAACATACTATATATATAGTATATATATATATATATATATATAATATATAATATAGAGAGAGAGACGCGTGAGAGAGAGAGAGAGAGAGATAGAGGAGAGAGAGAGAGAGAGCAGAGAGAGGAATATGGGTAATGCCTTCGTACCAAGCACAAAGTTTGTGCTGTTGAAGTGAGGTGGCATATTATCCTCGACACTATTCAATAGGCGGCCACATCACATGAGTTGAATATGTGGTCCCCAATTGAATGCACGTGGATGCCAGGAATGAGAACACGTCACTACCAAGCCAAATATTTATGCTTTGGTACTCAAAACATACTTCATTTCTCATATATATATATTTATTAATTATATATATATTATATATATATAATAGTATATATCCTTTTTTCTCTCTCTTGTATTTATAGTTTAAATTTAAACTAAAGGAGAGTTATTAACTTCTTGTGGATGTAGGTCTTCCTTTGAAGTCCGAACCACGTATATCTGTATGTCTGTAATGTTTCTCTATGTGATATTTATCTTTGTGCAACACACACACACATATAGAATATGAAATAAGAAAAAAATGAATTAAATATAATTTTATAAATATGAATACAAGTTTAATATAGTTTAAAAAGTAAAAAATAGAGGGGAAAACCCATGGCAGACCCACGACCTATGGGTTGTGAGCCAGTTCCAGCCTGGCCTGCCCCTAGGCAAGTCGTGGGCTGGGCTAGGTCCAATCCCGGACCCGGGATCAAAGAGGCAGGCCTAGTCCACTCTGGCTAGCTGGTTAACGGGCCTGAACTGGCCCGACCCACACCCATGACCAATGTTACATTAAACGCTGGGCGCTTCTAGGCGTCGGACTTGGCGCCCAGCGCTTAGTCGCCTAGGCGGGCGCCTAAGCGGTTTCTGGGCGTTTTTTTTCTTTCTTCATTTAAGTGGTGGTCGAGGAGGTTTTGCTGAAGGTCGGAGGAGGTAGTGGAGATGTTCATATTTGGAGGTTAATGGAGTTTGGATGACGTGTAGGCTACGACGCATAAAATCACAATCAAGACCTACAGGGTGCAATCTACGTAAGCAGACAATACTCCCCTAAACGCTCGTAAAATCTAGGTGGGCAGCCTAAATACCGCCTAAGCGCTAGGCGCTAGTTAGGCGGCCTAGGTACCGCCTAGGTCTAGACGTACGTCTAAGCGGACTAGGCGGAGGTTTTTTAAAACAGTGCCCATGACTACTGCAAGTTATGTACAAAATAAGCATCAAATCAGTGGTGGGCTTCTATGGGATCATTTACTTGTTCTTTATTTGGTGCTTAGGTAAATTCTTATTGTCCCTCTACATTTTAAATCAGGCTAAACTTTTCAATGCAATATCAACTAACATTTTGCTTTTCTGACCTTCAGTCAGCTATTTGACTTACAAGACCTCTTAGTTTATCTGATGTTTCCTTTCTTCTGTGTGTGTGCAATACGTAATTCGATTGGAGAAAGAGCATGTATTCTCTGTCTATGCACTCACTCTATAAAAATTGGTCAATATTTTAAGACACGGATGAGTAGTTGTGGTGGTTTTTTTCCTCTTGATCATGGTTTTAACGAATTCATGTGCATGCTTGCTGTAGGAAGCTCAGCTATAAACGCATTCCCTAAACATCTCATCAGATTATGGGACATGTGATTTGTCCTTCCAGATACAGCTATACAGGGAATCATAACATAGTTACTTCAGAGAAAATGAGGCAGTAACTTATTTTTGTTTGTCATATAGAGTTTTATGTTAAATCTGTTGGAGTGGATTCAATTTATTGTAATCATCTTTTTTTTTTCCTTTGAAATTTGATGACGTGGTATGTTTCTCAGATTTGATATGTGTTATTTTAGGGCATCTATGATTGCTGAGTTTCTTCTTGATGGAGATACCCACGGCCCATTGAAAAAGTCTCTTGAAGAATTTGAGAAGCAATACCCTGGTGGGATCGAGTACTGTCGGAAAATAGCTGATCGTTACTCCAAACAGTTGTTTACTATTTATCAACAACAAGAGGACCCCTTCTTCTTTCCATCATAGTGTAGCAGTTCTCTCGCCTTTATTTCCTGCTAATCCGTTGTATTTTCTACCGCAAATACCCTAGGAAAAGCTGGACAACTCCTCTCTTGCTTTTCGCCTTTTAATATATCAACTTTTGTTCCATATGTTGCCAGGTTTGTCTTGCTTTGTATATAAAAATCTTGTGTGAGTCTTTAAAATGTGCTGATGATTAAACAGTTGCTTGGTACTTACAGGGTTTGTTCTTCAGTTAATTTCTGGTGTCATCTATAGAAAAATATCAAAGCAGTGAGTCTTATCGTAGAGTTTGGCAAAGGAGGATTAATTGGTGTACGTATAATACACCACCTCCCATATAATCTTGGGGGTTTATACTAATTATGTTTGTAGTCGTGCTAACATGTTCTTTGTGAAGGCTGAAGTTGATCAAATTATGTGCTCTCTTCTTTGCCCTTTTATTATCACGTCTTTTGTCGAACTTTCAACATGCCCGTAAGAGAGATTGACCAAGTTAGGAGAAATTTCCTTTGGGGTGGAAATTTTACAAGAAATCGTACAAAAACCTCATAAGTGGTTGTGGATAGCCTTTAGAAATGATTGTTGGGCGGTGAGGTTCCTTTCTGTGTACCGCTCATCATCATTACCTTGTCGCAAGCATTTTGAATAATATTTTTTCAGTTCTAAGTTTTATGACAGGCATATGAACACTACATCAAATATC